CAACAATACCCGTTGCCTGACCGTTCGAGTCAACACCAGTGATATGGAACTCATTGGAGGGATGAACGAAACCAAGGAATTCCGGCGGGACGGTGGGTACGGGATCGTTCTGGTTCGTGATATGGGAGAGCGTGCTTCCGAGCTGTGTTGATCAAGGATGATCAGTACTCTGGAACACGAGCAAATGATATGAGCACGTACACTAGAATCAACGAAATCAGCCCAGGCTTGATCACCGACTCGAGGGAGCCCAAAAACTGAAGTCGTCAATTGGACCGAAGGGTCAAGTTTTTCCTTGAGGAACATTGCATCGAGAGTAGCAACCGCGGCACCTACACAACAGCTTCAGAAAAATGTCATCCAAGATCATGTTCGTGCCAGCATACCCAATGAGTGGCCAGTAACCAAAACGTTAGTTGCGTTTGTTGTAGCAAGACCATTCTGGACTCCAGCCAACACTCCATCTGCAGTACGCTCAAAGGTCTGTTGGAAGCCGTCATGTACTTGGATCCCTTCTGCAATGAACATGATGATCAGTATGATTCACAATCGGAAACATGATTCAACTCACTCCCGTCAGCAGTTGTGAACCTGGTGGTGTTGAGATCAACCAGCCCAAATTTGGCATCGTTTAAAATGGACAATAGGTTGTCGGGATCTGTTCCTTGGTGAGCAACAACGATAGTACTCGTGGATGGATCATGAGCAATGAAGTCTGGACACGAGCTTCGTCAAATCTTGCAACGAATCAACAGACCCGAGGTAACACTCACACATGGGAATGGTCCCATCATCTATATGCAACAGTCGTTCGTTAGTCATCGATGAGAAGACGAAGATGCCTCTCCACGTACTTCCGCCGATTTGGAAAACATCAACATCAGAACCCAGAGCATCACAAGGAGCACCGCACTGAAAGCTTTGAACTGCATCGCTAGAGCAATAAGCGATGCGAGAGAAAAAGGCAGGTCTCAGAAAATCGGAAGTGACAGTGTCATTGGATACGGCGGTAGTCCCTGCAGAGTTGTCATCGCTTGAGCCAAAACCAAAGAGGGGTGCAGCCAGAGAGAGCTCCGAGGTAAGCAGACTGGTGGATAAGAAGATAGAAACGAAAGAACTAAAGCGAAGCATGATACGAGATCTGGTATTCCTTGTATTCAAGTGGCAACGAAAACAACAACAACAAAGATTGCCTTGAACAAGGATAAGGTGAGGCGCGGCCTAATGGGAAGAAGAGAAACCGAGACAGAAAAGAAAGGAAACCTTGAAGGAGGAAGGAAAGAGCAGGGAAACAATCCACCAATGTTCCTTATATCTTGAAGATCCACGGAATTTGTACAGCATACGTTATCAAAATTGAGCCCTGACACTGTACAAGCAACCATGATTGTTATGAGGGGAAATGTATCGTTGATGCAACAACGACCGGTAACACAAACGTCCTGGCTCAATATCGCCTATTGTGGGTTGATGATGGCACAAGATAAAATGATGCGCGTGGCACTTTTGGTATTGATGATGATCTTCCCGAGGTCCTCAGTTGAGGGATTCGAGCTGATACAAGTCGCGAAGTTTGTTCATTTCACGTTGGCATCTGTTCCGCCGACTTTACTGTGTCCCGCCTGCTACCCTATATGGAATTTCAGACAGATGGACACAAATGCATTCCTCCTTCTGGGAGAAATCTGCATGATATGAAACAACGTTGTATATCGCATCAACAGAGATATATCAGCAAAAAAAATCCATGTCGCACACATCGCCACCTATGTAGATGATGAGCGCACCTCATCAACAGAATACCTGATCTAACAATCAAGGACAGGCTCCATATTCCTCTCTTCCTCTACCCTGATCCGTTCCTTCTCCCTTTCCGCGCTATCCCTCTCCACATCCACTCTTCCCTCTCTTGGCTTCAGACTCCAAAACTCCATGATCGTTTTTCCCTGCCTCCTACACATAATCACACAGCCCTCCGCCCCAGGCCCGTACGCCACCTTCCACACACTCTCGCTCGGCTCACTCAGATCCCTCACATAGTTTCCCGTTTGCGTCTCGAACAGCCTAACCCGGCCATCGTTCCCGCCCGTGACGAGGAACCGTTGGTCGAATTGAAGCGCAGTCACAGATGAATCGTGTGCGGCGATACGATGGAGAACTTGGAATGGGTTGGCTTGGTTGGGTTGGTGTTGAGAGTGGTGAGATTGGTGAGAATGATGAAGGGTCTGGTTGGATGAGTGGAGTGGTGGGAGAGAGAACATGATGACCCGCCCGTCAGATCCACCTGTGGCGAGCATTGTTGGTGAGAGTTGAAGTTGGCACACAAGGGCTGTATGGCCTTGCAGAGTGGCTTTGCATTCACTACAAGGATCATCATCAGATTTATCATTATTGTACTTTTTTTTCGCTCGCTTACCCAGTCTCAGCATCCCATACTCGAACTGTAGTATCCAATCCACCTGATGCTATCCGGACTCCATCGAACGCGACTGAGTATATTTGATGCAAATGTCCCCGAAGCACATGCAAGCATTCGCCCGTGTCCACATCCCAGAGCTATCGGCAACATGGATTCAAACATTGACTAAAGCAACTTTGAAACAGCTCACTCACTCGACATGTATTATCATAGCTCCCGCTGACGACCCGATTGCCACAAACGTCCAAACATCTAACGCTAGCTACATGCCCAGCCAGTACACGCAGAGATCGACCTCGTTGAACGTCCCAGACTCGAAGGGTATTGTCCCTACTCCCAGACACGGCTATGGGTCGGTTATGCAAGACCTTGATGCACCGGATGGTTGAAGTGTGACCACGGAGGACGTAGATACAGTATCTGTAATGATGATAGTACGTATAAAAGCACTGAGCAGAATAACATGATGAGAGAAGTAAGGAACGTACCCGGATCGAATATCCCAAACACGAACAACCTTGTCGCATCCACCACTAACTACCAACGCGCCTGGCTGACCCCACCCATCTGATGATCCTGTTACGTTGCTGGGTTTACCTGGATATCGAGATTGCCGTCTACTACCGATGCCTGGACTACCTTCATCCATATCAACATCACCCACTTCAGCATCTTCATCGAACACACTATGTTCCTCCCAAGCGGTCTGATCATCCCAGTCACTTCCCTCCTCTTCTCCGCCACAATCAGCGTGGATATTATTTGGATCGTCGTTGACGGGTTTTAGACCAAGCGCAATCCTCAAAGACGGCGGGATGAACTGATTGAGCGGAGGATCAGCATCTGCAGAAGCATTGACGTTGGTGTGATTTGTCGTAGCCCACCTAGACGTATGTCCCCCGATGGACCAGTTGTATGCATTGGAGTTGATCGTGTCGACATCACCTTCGCTGTGTCGAGACCGAGTTTCAGGACGACGAGGACTCCGTGACACAGTCTCCTCAATTTCTTCGTAGTCTTCACCTTTTTGGGATTCGCGGGCACTTTTTCTCTTCCGCCTCTTTCCATTCCTCGTTCCACTACCACCTTCCTGCTGCCTCACGCAATCAGGTCCACCCATATAGCCGCCCTTGTGAACCAGACACACTGCCCACACGCCTGAATCATGTCCCACAAGCGTTCGTGCGAGAACGCCAGTGCGTGCACTGAATACGTGTATTCGACAATTTGCCAATCCAACGACAACCCAGTCTTCATCTAACGCTAGAGAGGTGACGACGCCGCTCTCTGGATTTGTCGAGCTAGCTGGTACTTTGTGGGCACGGAGAAGATGTCCACCATTATGCCAATTCTGCACTGGGTACATGGTTGAGTTAAACATCGTCGAGAGCGTGATAAGAACATACTGATCGAGTAGGAATACTTGAAATGTTCCCGATAAGAAAAACTAATTGTATAGGTAGGAAGCGATGTGGACCGAGTTCGTAACATTGCTGAAAGCTGTCCACCCCTTATGTGTTCATCGTCTTCCACCAACGGCATCCTATCCTTGCCTTTCCTTTGACTTTGACCAATGCAGTTACGATGTGGCTTATCCTTATCGAATGCATACAGTACACACATGCGTTTCCATAGCGCCTCATCACTGATGAGCCTCCACCATCGGTGGCTGACCTGCGCAGCTCGCGCAAGAGTCTTTGGGCTGTCGACAAAACCAAGTACATGTAACGCAAGTTCTGTCGGGAGAGCACGGAGGAAATCTCTTTTCAAAAGAGGAGCAATAGTTGTAGATATGAAAAGTAGTTCAGTTGGGTTGCAGGCGTGGATGACAGCAGATAAGTACTGTCTTCGTAGGACTGGATTCTGTGGTAGGGCTAATGGCGAGATTGGTGCTGTTGTGGTGCGAGCTGAAAGATCAAACGACGGCGATGGTCGCTCGCCGTGGACTATTGCCATGATATTAGGTCCAGGAGATGGTGCAGGTGTGGGTGGCGAATCTATGGGCATATAAAGCGTCTGCGAAGCTCCGTGTTGCTGTTGCTGCTGCGAGGTCTGCTCTGGCTCAAGGTCGACTGCTGCCAAAATCGAATTCATGGGCAAGTCTGAGTGAAATTTCCGACTAAAATCGGGGTTCAGAGGTCTCGCGCTGCTATGACGAAACCCGCCTCTGTTATTGAAAGAGGTCATAGTTGGTAGTTGACGGAGGTGAAAGCAAGATGTTGAGGGGAGATCGCTGGAAAAGGGAAAAATATCGGGCTATGCAGCTGCTCCGCTGTTGATGGGAGATATGGAGCAGAGAATTGATGGATGACTGGTGAAGAATAGATGAAGAGTTACGAGCTCGAGGACCAAGGAGATGACGGTCAGAAGCGAGCAGCTTGAAATATTCGACATCTGAACAATTATCAAATGTTCATCAGTCCGAAGACTCAGCCAACCAAAGACATTACAGAAACACGTTGTCTTTTCCTTATCAATCTGTTATTAAAAAAACAATTCAGATACATTCTGCTAGGCGTTAACTGATAAGTAGTGTATGTACTGTGTATATGACTCAATTGGAAAAACAAAAAACGGAAAGTGACCACCGCAGGGCTCGAACCTGCAACCTCTTGGTACGCTCAGCAGTCGAAGCCAAACGCGCTACCATTGCGCCAGGTAGCCATGTAAGAGGTGACAAATTAAGGTTATAGATTGTGCACACTAATAAAGTAACTATCAACAATTCTTGTGATGCATGCAACAAATTTGCTCTTTCGTTCTAGCTGAAGTAGGTCTACATATGTTGGCCCAAAGCCTCCTGGCTAGATCATCGTGATCTCTCGGATTCTATGAGCGGAACTGGTCCAGAACGGGGGCCTCAGTGAACAGATTTGGGGAAAAAACCGCACAGAAACTGCAAGGGAGTTTCTAAGAGGATCGACCGGTACGTCTTGAATTGCATATTGCTTAAACTCAAAATCCTAAAGTACAACGAGAGAGAAACACGCAAAGCATAAATGTTTTCACCAAAGTTTTTTGAACGTTGACAGTAACTCTTTCTGTCTAAGGGACGTGGACCTCCACCGTCGCCTGTTATTCAACGAACGCGTTTACTCTTCGTTGAACTATCAGAGTGGCTAGCGAGGCTGTCGCCACCAGGCTGCGTTTGGATCAGCTGACACCTCAAAAACGCATTGGACAAGCCCAGAACCCATTGGCTGACAATCTCAAATCGTCCAAATTTTTGTGACCATGGCTCCGGTTGAAAAATTCCATTGTTCGGTGCCGTTCGCCTCCTACCATCTACCTCGACAACAACGCCATAGGCTCTGAGATCTGAACACTGCTATCTCACTCACCGAAGTCGACTTAAGTATACAGCGGTGAACAGCCAGTGCGAAATCGCTCGATTTTCAGGATAGGAGAATAGGCGTACTTTTCCAGAACTGAGCGTATACCACTGTGGCGCACATACAGTTGAAGTTCCAGCGTTTTGGAAGTCTGTAGTTCGTACCGGGTCAACCTTTTAAAGCTCGTCGTTCGCCCCCGTTAGTCTGATCTGGCCAAACAGATAGAACACCGAGTTTCCTTGATAGTCTCCCCAATATCGCCAGAACAATTGTGTCATTGTGTCAGGTTTCGATACTGCTGATATGAAGATTGGCGTCTATCGTCGTTTCCGCTCCAACGTGGTCCTTTTTCGCATACCCAATTACCGCTCTCGTTTTGAAGGCAATTTTCTATTTGCAGGCCTGAAGTAGGATTTTCAACATGAATGAGGTTGTCGAGTTCCAGGGATCCGACAATCTACCCTGCTTGAACAATGTTGTTGGGTAATGTTGCCTCCTGCGTCCTTCACCGAGATTTTCTTTCCGAATGATATTCGGACGGCGGGCAGCTTTGGGGAATCCAGTGGCTGGTATCTACACGATTTTCTAGGCAGACTTCACAAAAGAGACACTTTCCCCTTGACCGGCTACAGGCAGCCCTGTAGAGCTGAAGTTGTTGCCCAGATTCGGTGGACGACCACACCGGTAGCGACGAATATAACGCAGTCCCCGTCTTCTCTTGAAGGTAGTCTATCAATCCTCTGGGTTGAGATCATGACAAAACGAAGTACTTTGTCTTACACATCTTCGGAGAGCAAGGTAACACACAAGTGCAACTACGATATTCTCTTTCTTGCCAGCTGAGCGGTATCGTAGCATTCCATGACGGCGGTTAGTTTCGACGACCTATCCAGCGGCGCCAGTTGCGACAAAACGACGCTATTGCCTTCTCTCGGACCCGGATTCCTAGATCTTCATGCGGTGCTTGTCTTACACCTTCTGTGAGGGAGGCAGCCCAATAAACACTGATATTGTTCTTTATCGCCAGCTGAGCATTGTCCTATATTCGCAGCTTAGCTCGACGACCTGCTATGAAGGTTCTGGGGCTGCTATCCAGTACCAGCATCGATCTTCTTCCAGTGAACGCAAGGAGGCATGCTGAGACCGATCACTTTCCAAGCCAATGTTCCTCGTTTGATGGAAGAAATCGCGCCAATTGGAAGGCGGGGACCGTTATTGAGATTCATCTGGCGCAATGCTGCTGTGTTTTGACGGTGGACACGATTCCGACCTGCGGAAGAGAAAGGTTGCCGTGTTGGACGTGCTGACCTCAAGGGCAAGACCATATTTTCCTGCCAGTTTCTGTCATTGCGCGTGGCAATTTGTCCTATCCCTCCACAAAGCGGCGGAACCCTGACGGGCATGAATTACGAGTACGGAGCGTTCTCTGGTCAGACAGTGAGTCCAAGGTCTACAGCCATGCACGCTCTGGACAGACATCTGTAGGTTCTTAGACCCCCATTCAGTGTTCATGTCGATAGAGGGAGGGCATAGGATGGCAATGACCTGACCTCGTCACGACGGAATCCCTCGAGGAGCATGCTGCTGTGCGGGTAACAGGGATGAAGGCGATGGTCGTGGTCGTTGTCTATTTATCGGTAAATAAGAGCAGGAGCAGCTGTGAACGCTGAAGGGACAACATACACCGTTTCTCAAAGATGATATTTAGTCCGCCAACCTCTTCCGCTGTAATGCGTTACCGCACCCAATTTACACCCACAAATCCGAAGTGAGCCCGTGATTTTTATTCAAGGGGAAGGATAGTAACCCCCTCGCCTTTGTAAGTTTCGCCGCCTTCAACGAAGCATCAAAAGACCAGATTTCGGCTTGAAAACTCTTCAGTCGTGGTCCTGAAATTTTCCGAGAAAGAACAAGGGAAGGCAAGCAATTTCTTTCAGTCTCATGGGAGTGATCAAAAAAATTGACATCGTGTCCAGACAATGGGAAATCTACATTCGCTCATTGTGTTCCGCATAAGGCTTCGTCACGTCTTTCGTGAGGCCCCTCTAAGCCTCTTTTTTTCACGCAGAATGTATCTCTGTCCCAGAATTGTGCTGCAAGTTTCCCCAATTTTAGGGATTGTGGTGTATGCCAGGGTTCATCTCGGCTTGCGCTGAAACTTCTGATCTAGATGACGCCCACAAGGTCCCACCACGAGAACAAAGGTTAAACTAATGGCTATCTCCGGACAAATTGCCTATTTCGTCTTCGTTCCTTTGTACCTCTCATCGAACTACGAATCTACTCCTTACGACAAACACGCTCAGACAGCATTTTTTCCTTAGTTGGTATTTCTGGACTCGCTAAACATACTGAGAAGCGGGTGGCTCGCATCATTGTTCGCCGACCAGGATTGGGAATTGTCGAGGCGCTGTCCTAAACGGGTATTTTTTGAATCGTTGTCCCACACCAATCGTGTTTTGATGAATTCCTCTTAAAAAAGGTGGCGCGTGCTACGACACCAACTTCTGAAAACATCACCCACCCATCATACTTTTAACCGCCACCTTTTGCCACATCCTTGATCTCTTGCCTGTTTTTCGCTCACAAATCGTTCCAAATCATTCAGCCGAGCAGCCGACCTATGGCTAGAACCAGAAAACCCGTACGCTTTCTTCCATCGAAACATATAATCAAGCTAAAAACCAATTTTAGGTTTTCAAGGCAGACGGTACTCTCAAGGACCCAGCTGTTTGCGACTTATGTGGAACCAAAGTCGCTCGTAAGGGTGACTTACCTAGACATATGCGCAGCCATCTCAGTGCAGAGGAAAAATTCTCCAAGTACGCCACACCTCTTTCTCCGTCTTACCCCGTCTCTCAACTTGACCAGGTCTTACGCTTGCCCATATGACGGATGCACCTACAGGAGCCTGCAGAAGGGCAATGTCGACACGCATATTCGAACCCAGTAAGGCGTGATATTTGACTCCCTCCACTGTAGCCTAATATATTGACTAAACACTTTTCAGCACGAAAGAAAAGATTAAATGTCCCACGTGCGACTTTGATACTCCTGATCCCGGTTCGCTCACCCGCCACAGAAAGAGACGGCACGAATACGTTCCAGAGCCAAGGAAACCTCGTAATCCAGGCAATGGCCTACCCGCTGATTGTGCACAGCCGCAGATCATCATTGAAACACCTTCCACATACTCTTGTTCTGCCTCGGCGTCTCCTTCTCACTCTGCTTCTGTCGCTGCTGAAGGCTCTCTTGATCCCACTGGCGTATACGACTCGGACGCTACAACGTTGACTACTTCGTCTCCATTGTCTTACGAACTGGCATTGCCAGATGCTTTGAACACGGGGTATGAATCAGAGGCTACACAGTCGACCGCTACCTTCTCTGCCTTTTCGGACCCTATCAGCGCAGAGTATGATTGCGATGTCACGAACGCTATGCCGACGACTGTTCCTACAGCGTACACCCTCGTCAATCCATCACCTGTGATAAATACTCCTTGTATGGGAGTTTCTTCAGAGCCTCCTCGGAAGTTGCGGCATACACCACTCGGCCTCCAAGATATCTTATCTGATGAAAGCCGAGTATACTGGGGACGTCGCTTGTAAGCTTGCGGCAATAGGGCGTGAATTTGCAAGTTTTGTCTGTCCTATGTTCCTATGACGGGAGTGTTCAAATTGCTATGTGCTATTCTCAGTGTCGCTCGGATTGATCTACGTATGTAGTGCACGACGTAGGTTTTGTGTCTTATCATCAATCATTAATCCCTATCCACAATACTACTGTACTACACCTGGATTCATTTTTCCTGTAGCTGTAGTCACTCCATCCTTCGTTCTTCTGTATCAATATGACTTTCACGTAACTGCAGGCTTGTCATTTGTGCGAGGCCGTTGCGTTCGAACTCGCGCATCTCGTAATCTCTTTCTTGGCACTTACTCACATCAAACTATGTAACTGTATCGCAGTCTCTAGGGACTAAATCACATGCTCAAAACTGTGTTAGACTATCATCAACTCCAATCTTACCTTAAGTATTCAATCTCATGCATCGATTGATCATCTATCGAACCTGCAAATTGAGCCTCAGCTAGCCACTTGAGCAGGGTGTTCTTTCTTCCGACATCCTGAAGTCACAGGCCGGGGACATTTACCAGCGATTGCTTCCGGTAGACCTCGCCTAGTTGGTCAGCTAAATGCTCGTCTTCATAAGCTATCCTCAACCGGGTCGGAAATTTTTCCCCGAGGTGATGAGAAGTTCTCACTATATATTTATACGCCACAACTCTTCATTATCCTTCAACTGTCTGCACGATGGCCCCCATAACA